TTTTTTTATTGAGTTTTCATAGATTTTTCTATGACCTTCTGCTTGAATTTCTCATTCATAAGTCTATTACAGCAGTCTGCATTATATTGATACTCTAACTTTATTACTGATCTCTTCAAAATCTTCTTTGAAATTATTATATTATATTCTTTTAATATATTATCTGCAGGTGTTTGCACACTTGATCATATTAAATATTAATTTTTTATATCTAGTCAGATCTCTTACTTTGTTAGTCAAAATCATTCTAAAATCATATTAGTACTTTTTAAATTTATTATTAGTATTGATATATTGAAAAATCTTTGTTCATCTACTCACAAATATAATAAGATAACTTTTATGATTGAAATTTCTCTCTGATTATTAAATTTCATAATCTGATGATTCTTCTTCAACTTCTTAAGATTTGCTTCTAAGGCTTTGATATATCTATGTACAAAGCTTGTATCAATAGAAATATAGCAGTTTACTTCAGAATTTACTAATGCTTTTATATAAACAGTATATTTATTAAAATCTACTTTAATATATACAGTAAAAGAATTTTCACTTATTAACTAATTTACATTCAAAGTTTCTAGTGCAACTATTTTATTTAAGAAGAAGGTTTTTCTTAGACTTAATCTTTTTCTAACTCAGTGACAGCAGTTTCAATATTCACTTTTTTCAATTTTGTCTCTTGCTTGCATAAATAATGTTATGCTATATGATCTTTATTTTATCAATTGAAGTATTTTATATTCTTTTTCTAATTTTTATTCTTTAATTTATTTTCAATTATCTGTATTGATATAGCTGAAGTCTTTTCATGACTGATTTAAATCATCAAAGTTCCTTTATGACTAAGCAGTTATTGATTATTTTGACTAAATATACTATTAAAATAATGAGCAGTTTAGGTGCAGATATTTTGAACTTTATAAAAAATACTATAATTGATGTATGCAGCTGCAATCATGCATTGAAGATCAAAGAAAATCTTATAAAAAAAATCTACTTTATAATCTTTCTTATGAACCTAAGCTTCATCTGCCAGATACAAGAACTTAATCATAAATATATGATAATTATCTTCATTTCTTATTATCAGTTATCAATATTTCATCTTTACATTTTCAATCTTATTAACATTTTTATATATTTCTTGTAGATATTTGAACACTTTTTTAGCTGTTTCAAATTTTTCAAAATGATTTTTCTTCATTATTAAAGCTAAGTATTTAGTAGCTTTTCTTTTGATTTGATTTTCAATATATACAATACATCTTTTCTTAGTTGAAAAGTGGTCTGTATTGACAGCTAGCTTGTATTTCATTTATAAGAGTCAGTTTTTGAATATCAATTCTTTTTTATTAATGAGATACTTAGAGTCATCAAGTTTGACTAATTATTATATCTGTTGAGTGTTCATTAGTCTAATTTAAGAGATTAAAGAGTTTACAGTCTGCTATAATGTATTTTATTTCTTTATCAAGCTGTTCACTTACTGATCAAGTTTATTTATTTGCTTTCTCTGCTTATCTCATTCTACTCTAACTCTTTCTAAAGTGTCTCTCATCTTATCTATAAGATCAATAATCTTTTGATAGATCTGATCTGAATTCTCTTCAATTGATACAAGGAATTGTTTCTTTAATATAAGATTTTTTGATCTCATATTTCTCTCAGTCAGGGTTATCATATCTCAATCTAATCTTCATAGATGATCAAACTCTCTAACTACTTCTAACATATTAGCAGTAGTCTTAGAGATTTAAAACAAAAGTTAATAAAGATTTTCAGAAATTTTTTATCTAAAAAATCTACTTTAAAAAGAGTAAAAAAGTTATTAATTTTAGTACTATATCACAGCTTTAATCTAGACGCAGATGAACAGATGTTCAATTATTAACTATATAGACTATCTGAGTGAATACTAAGATGATTTCTAAAAGATGAGTTTAGGGAAGACTCTTTTTATATAGCTTTTTTCTTCACATACTTATTATATGATTACTATATTTATATATTATTCATATATGAGGTAATTGTATGGTTAGTACTATACTTATATCTAGATAATTTGTGATTACTATGTTTAAATGATTGCAATTACTATTTGTTTCAGTCTTATATTTTATACTATTGAGAAGACTATAAAGTTCATTCTATATCATTATAATTTATATTAATCTTTTAGATAAATCTTTAATTTTATTATAATTAATAACTTCAACATTATATTATCTATATTAATACATTTTATCACTATTATTAACTTAGAAAAATATAATAATTATATAATTGAAATAATATCTTGATAAATAATTATTCCTTAATATTCATATTCTTCTTCTTCTTAAAATTCAATCTCATCAAAATTATAAATATTACTAATATAAAATTTATACTAATTGAAGATAAATTTGTAGTAATCAAACTAATTAATAATCAGATTTATATTTTTATTTAATATTTATTTTAAATTTATAGATTTCTGCTTGATTGTTTTATAATCTAATAGATATTTGATAAATTGATATATTTATATCTTGTTCATAATAGAAGAAAAAATATCGAGATTGATATGAAAATAACTTAGTATTTAATTTATAACAACTTCAATAAATTCAAATGTAAAAGAGTAAAAGCTTTTATTTAATTGATAAATTTACTTCTTGATTACTTTCTTCTTGACATTACTTAATATTTAATTAATTAAAGCTACTATATTTTTTAATCTTTTTCTCTTAATAAATTTATATAGAGTTTTATATAAAATTTTAAATTAGATTTTATAATATCTAATATCATCTAAATTTAATCTTTTAAATATTTAATATTATTAAATATAATGATAATAATTATTAATTTTTAAAGATTAATAATAAATATATAAAAAAGATATTTTTATTATAATAATATTTTCTTTACAATAAGATGTATTTATTAATAATAAGTATATATGATATAATTATGACATTTAATATAAAAATTATATAGTTGATAATCAATCTATTTTTATTATTAAAATTTTATTTATATTAAAAATAAAATTTTTTTATTTTTTACTTTTATATTTTTTATTTTTTATATAAATTATTTAATTATAACTTTTTTATAATATTATGAATTTTATATAATTTTATATTTAAAATTATTAAAATATCAATAAAAATTAATAAGTATTTTATTTTTATTTATAAATATTATAAAATAATACTAAAAATATATATTTACATAGATTTTTTTTTAAAAAAAAAATTAATAATTATTATTTCTTTTTACTTTTATCTACAATTTTAACATTTAATATAAAGTTAATATGATTATTTTATTGCATTGTGATAATTTTGTTGAAAATGCATAATAATATAAAAGTATAAAATTAAAGTTATTTAAGAAATGAATTACTTTATTACTGGTCAACATGAAAACATAATAACGCAATAGTAACTACTAGAGAGAAGAAAAAATCTTGCAAAAAACAAAAAAGAAAGAAAGAAAAGAAGGCACAAACCTCTCCAGTCTTTGACATAATTATCACATCAATCATTATATATGAATTCACTTCTGTATTCACTTCACATCATATCATTATCATTCCCCATCTTTAATCCACACTGGCTTGTCCTGTGGGTTTTTCAGGGACATTTATTAAATTAGAAATAAACAAAGAGATCAATTACCGTCGCGTTTGATATCAACTCCAACCACCAAAAAAACAAACAGTTATGGCGGTAGCAGCAGGCATAACTACCCCCCTCCACTCTCTATTCTTCTCGACCATCTCAGCCAGATAACAGATAGCGTTCACTGTGGTGCACTACTACCTCTTATCCACATTCATAGAGTCAACGAGAAACTTAAAACGTCGAATATTGCTAACGTTCGCAAGAAACAGATCATTCGGTTATTGAGCTTGCTGCAATGAAAAATGGCTTCTTCATTCTTGTCAATTTGGCATTCCGGTCATTGTGAACAGCGCCACAAAAAAGCCAACAAAACCGCAAGCTCCTCCTTTAAGTGCCCAGGAAAACGGAATAGTAACAAACACATTGCAAAATAAATATTAGCAGAGGACATTTGCGCCTTGTTCCTCACAAAAATTGATCAAGACGGCCTTCGAGGGCGAAAGGGGAGACTACGAGTTAGAATGCCACATCCAGCCCTCTCGAGCGAATTAACAATGCTTCATCTCAGCACCATATCAATTTGTGAAGATGGTATTTCCGGGGCGTTTGGTTCCGACGACGACGGGGTTTCTGCGCTTGAGATTTGTCCCTCCCACCTCGCCTTCCGCTTTAACTCTTCTAGAAGGTCTATTCCGTGGTGGTCTTATCACAACAGGCCCGCATGCAGTGATTCCCGTAGATGCACCGGGGTCACCAGCCAAAGCTTGGAGTCTGGCTGACCGTCATCTCTGAACTACTTCAGTAACCTGTTGTTTCGGGGTCAATAAATGTGCTCAATGTATATATATATCAGATTATGAGGGATCTTGATGTTATTACCTGCAACTGGGCTGGTGGGTTCTTCGCTTGCGCAGTTTCTTTTTCCTTTGGAGTTGTCGCAGGAAGCCTTCGTCCAAAGCCAATCCCTCGAAATAACGGCGTGATTTCAGGTTCAGTAATCAAAAGGCTGCAGAGGGCAGCATGTGCGGATGCATGGATAGCCTCCGTTGCGGTCTTGTAGAACTTATGAGCACCAAAATATATGTCCCTCCGACATCGACTTTATACCAAAACCTGTCATCATTGACGTATCTTGTAAAATCCGTGCGAGCCAGCCTCTAACTCTGACATAGTCTATATGAGAACACAATTTTGTTAGTTTGTTTTAATCCATTCAGCGAAGGCAAGGGCGCAAGGCAGCTGTTCTTTAAGAGAAATTAAAGAAAAAGTAAAATGATCCCGAGAAAAGCAGTGATAATATAGGATACCCTTATGCAACACGACCAAACCCACGGAGTAACACCACCGCATGCTCCGGAAGCTCAGGCATATTTAAATTAGAATTCAATTCCAACCCTCTTGGCGCAATCCGGCAAGTCTCGCTCTAGCAATAAACTTATCTCGAAACGGGATGTGCGTAGAAGCCTTCTCGCCACGATACGTGATCGTTGCTTTCCAATTTCCCCTTCCACTTGCCTTGTAACTTAATTCTGAACGAAACCCAGCCACGAGGGAAATAATGCCAAAGTAGAAGACCGCCTCAATGTGGCTAATATATTTTATGTTCAGGTCTTTGAATTTCTTGTTCTGTGGCTTCTTTGAGCTAGCTGCAACTGCTGCAACAGCTATTTTTTCGTCAATGGATTCTCTGGAAGCGGAAGTATGGCTGTCAAATAGTCCTCCAACCGGTTTATGTCTGGAGTTCTTTGAGGCTGGGGATTCAGCGGCATCGTCTGTGCAACGGTAGTGAATTCACCTACACCTTCACTGGTTCCAAAAGAAGTTGCGCCGGCCATGGTACGTGCCTGCATCGAACTCTGGTCCCCAAATCCGCCAAATGCATTTGGAAAACCAAACTGGATGAGCGAGGATTGTGCTGGAGACGCGAAATTTCCAGGGTGACTCCAGCCTAAAATTCCAGGGGTCGCTGCAGTTGTAATCGTTGGTTTGACTCGGTGGAGTTCAGAGGGATAGAGTTCGATTAGTTGTTTTTTTATGAGATGGGTAAGAACGCTGAAGCGAAGAAAGGGGGCATTGAAATCCATTCATGATTGAATTCTGATTTCCAGACTGAGTTTGATCACTGGCCCCTGAAGCAAATCCATTGTGATTCTGAGAAACCCCCATCCCACTGTTGACATTACGGTCGTCATCAACAGCAGGGAATATCTTTTCTGAGTACCACCAGGACTGCTTTGAGAGGCGTTCTGGAAAGCTATACTGAAAGTAAAAATTCAATATGGGAGTCGGCAGTGCATCGTGAAAAATATGAAGATATGATAAGAAAACAACACAATAGATCAAATCAAAAATATTAGGTTGAATGTTGATGTAGTGAATTTCCGAGAGAATACAAAAAGAAATATTAACTATTCACTGTCAGGGTTAGTTACTTGTTGACGCGAAAGAAGAGATGACCTGGGCAGAATATTCCATCAACTTCAGCAATCAAAAAAAAAATAAATAAAAATAAAAATAAAAATAAAAATAAAAATAAAAATAAAAATAAAAAATAAAAAATAAAAAATTAGGAGGCCAAATGATGAAAGATTCCAGTGGAATTCTAGAGGCCCCAGGAAATGCCAACCGAATATCATATAATTTTATATGATAAAAGGAACATAAACACACTGAGCATTTCTCATATCCCTCTCCCCTAAGCGAACAGAACAAATTTAAAGAAAAAGGAGATAGAGGCACAGAACACACAAGGAACAAGTATCGCATAAACTAGAAGTCTCCTTCATATATAGAAGTATATCTATAACCAGAATCCGGATAGAATACAGATGAACTGATTTTAGAAAGCACAGGAAAACAACGTCCACATTAAAATCTCCGAAGGTGCTATCATCTGGCCAGCTGTATCCCCACCGCTGTCGCTTTCATCCTTCAATGAAATGTGTCCCCGCTTCAGTATTTTAATCCCAGGTAACAAACAGAAAAATATGGCTAGGGCTAAAGACACAGCAAAGCAGCGAGGGAGTAATAAACAGAGAATAATGAAATCTTGCACATTACCATTGCCTCCACACCAAGGGTTGTGGTCTTGTTAAAGGATGTCATCTATATCAAGCAGTGGGTATGGTGATGTATCATGAACCAATATATTCCACCAGTCTCCCATCACAGATTGCGTATTCGACTAGGATACCACTAGACGCGTTGGAAGATAATCATATATGAAGAATTGTGGGCGTTTATGCTGTTCCTCCCACTTCTTTTCCTGGGGTAATGAGCTTTGTCTTTGCCTCAACCATTTCTTCAGAGGAACCTTTGGGGATGGTTTCTTCTGTGCCACGGCGAGATGTTTTCTTTACCGGTGAAGGACTTCTATGGTCATTGTCTTCTGGAATTTCTAGGTGGTCTGATGTAGCAGACCTTTTGCGTTTGGACTCGGTGGATGCCGTAAGGCTGTTTTTCGATCTTCTGAACGCTTTTGCACTATTCGCGTTTTTCTTGCCAGAGCTATGAAGTGGAGAGTCTGCATCACTCCCAGTCCCTTCCTTTTGCCCTTTCATTCGTGGGCTTGGGCTGAGAAGGCTGATTGGAAGAGGTGCATTTTCGCTTCCGAAATCTTCATCGCTATCCGATCTGGCACTTGAACCCGAGACAGCTCGCACTCCCGGCTGTGGCAGTTCCTTTAGAGCTCCAGGGCGACTTGGGTGTCTGGAATGTGACACAGCACGAGTCTCTGGCGCTACAGAGTGCTTGGAGGCTACGGGAGGAACGGAAGCTGGAGTATTGGTGGGTGCGTTAGTGCCGCTTGTTAGTTTACTGGGGCTGAGGGCTTCGATTAATTTGTTATATTGCTCATCGTTGATCGATGCAGCAGCAGCAGGCTGCTTATTTTGCTGTCCAAAACTAATGCCTGTCATACCAGATATTGCTCGACTGCTATTTGTGCTTGATCCAACGTAGTCTGGCATGGGCACATCGTCCAAACTTGAACGGGCGCGTCTACTGAATCCTGGATCCCTGAAGGGGTCAACGAATGGATCGTGGATTACAGGTTGCAAAGGCCATCTGGACTCCCTTTCAGGAAAAGTGCTCCGCGGCCACTGCATCTGCGAGGTAGGGTAAAGACGCTGATGCCACACTGAATGTTGCAAAGAGTGGCTAGTGTCTGGAATGCCGATTCCACGGGGTTCTGGGCGGGTTGGAGAATGGGAATGAGCATCATCATCTTCTCTACTGTTACCGTAGTCCACACCCAAATTGTACCTCAGGCTGGGACGTGAGGCTGGTTCCCACATTCCCGGGTTTGGCCAGGCCAAGTTCGAATATTCTAAAATATCTATGACAGTTTAATGAGCTATTATGAAGTTGGTGTGCACATTGATCGTGGTGGCGACTTACTCAATGGAGCATGTTGAAAGGAAAGGAAGATGAGATCCCTAACTCTCTCGAAGGGTGGATTTCGATTTGGCCGAGAATAGCCTTCTGCGATGACAATTTTGATGCGGCCAAACTCTTCCCCAGCTTCCCAGTGAGACTGTTGTAGCATCTCCTCATGGAACGCGGGAAAGCGCAAGGTGTCCGGGTCACCATTTTTGTCAAAATCTTGTACGCGAATGATTAAGTTATTAGTAGGCTCTAGAAACTACCTCTCATTGCATTAGTCGGCTTACGAGAACTCGAATCTAGAATTTATTGTTAGTACATGAGAAACTGTAATCCAAAAGCCAACTCCCAATAATCTCTGAAGCAAGAGGAAACAACATACCGATGACTAGAGGCCAACTAGTCCTCTGGTGGGCAAGACTTCCGCTTCACACATACATAAGTTAGTAAGACACATTTACGCCGTGGAAAACCCTGCTTCATGAGGTTACATACGCAACAAAGTCTCCATCAATAAAAGCTCGAATCTCAAACACGACAGAGTCCTCCGGATGCATCAGACCCTCCATCATCCTCGTAGGAATCGGTTTTTGCCAGCTATGAACAGATACCCTAAATGGGCTGTTGCGAGGCATGCTCGGGATAAAAGTCGTCAGGATGGGGGTGTAGCCAACTGCTCCCTGTGCATAATGTGCCTGTGGATGGATTAAAGGTTCAATGTGCATATAGGGAGATTCTACGGAAAGATTGGGCAGACAACTATCAGCATTTGGTCTGCCAGACGATGGTATAAATAGAGAGCAAATAAGAGAGACGATACTAACCAGTATCCCTTGTCACGAAGCATTGTGTCTTGAACTCTTGAATGGGCACCTTTGACCCTTCGGGAAAAAGGAGAACGTCCCAGTTCTCGAACCGCATGGCTACTAGTTCTTGAAGCGCTTAGTTTGTACCCCTCTCTCTTTTAGGATGGGGTTACAACAGAGGGAAAACCGATAGTCAGTGGTAATGTAGCAGCCGTAGGGCAAATCAGACTAACTGTAAGCAAAGGAGCAAAGAACGAAAGTCTTCAACACACTCCCAACCCTATCCCCGTGATGCTCATGTATGCCAGCGATGATAGGATGATGAGATGAGGATATGGATGAGAGAGAGAAACACAACAAACAGAGGGAATGGAGCCATTCTTATATCCTATGGCGAAGTCCTTCTAGGACTGGCTTCAGGAAGGCACTCTCTCTCAAGTTGGAGTGCAGATCTGGCTATTCCTTCCCTAGGCATTGGGCACTCCTTCACCCATCAAAGGAGTTGGAAATAGGTAAGAATCACCTTTGTACTGGCAGCTGCAATCGCTAAGAGATCCTCCGTCCTTTATACCCGGACAAAACGCAGGCTCCCAATAAGCAGCTGTGTTGTCCACAGCGGTAAAGCAGCTAGGTCACCCAGAAGAAACAGCATAAATCCACACCCAAACTTTGACTATGCGAAGCCATCTATGGCAACCCCCTCCCCCCCCCCCCCCCCCCC